TCCCGGGGCAGAGCAACTCTGCCTCAAGCTGCCTGTAGTCAGCCGCTGGTCAGTTTCAGCAGCGGCTGAATCTGGACGCCAGTTCCGACTTACATACAGATTCAACTTAAGAACAAACCTACAATCCCTATATTGTATGTAACCCGGGGACTGCCTGTACATATTGCAGGATTGAATATACAATGTTATAGGAACCAAGAGGCGAGCCAACCTGTGTCTTGATCAGGAGGCCTGTAGCATAGTCAAAGTTGAAAGATATGCATATGGCTTAGAATATGTGTAGGTACAAATCCTACTTTCTGGTTTATTCCACTGAGAATTTTTCATTAGACTGTGAAGTTATTGATTACCCTCTGAAAACACTGAAGTCGCTCCAGCTCACTGCTGAAGGAGGATATCTGTTGGTCAGTAAGGCAGCCAATCTTAGTATTTGCAGATTCAACCCATCCATCTGTCTCTTGACACGCAGTGGTGAGACTTCTGCGAAGCTGTTCACAGCATTCAGTGGACTCCTCCAGCAACTTTTTGTCCTCCCTGTTTACCTGCCTGATCTCTTGTGAGAAGTCATCTAAAGATGCAATGTATCTGTTGCGGTGGGAAGTTGTACAACTGACAAGGTCTGTAGTTTGCCTGCATGAACAGATTTATAATATATGTCAGAGGATTGGAAATGCTGATTTACAAACATCATGCATTTAATATGATTTGATAACCGCATCAGTGACAGTCTAATTTCAAAGTAAGCCAGATCAAATCCCGTTCTAATAAGAGAGCACTGAAATGCTTTCTGTTTAAGCTATTTATTCAGTCAAGTTTCCATCAACAATCTAGTATTACTGCAGGATTTAATAAGTAGTTATATTAATTTTGGCCAAGACTTTCAAGAGAGACTGTCCACTTGATAAGCCTTATAAGCATCTCAATTTTCAGAAAGTACCAAGTACCCAACCAAGGCAAATCAGATCTCTTCAAATGGTCTCAACTTGGGCCTTTACAAGTCACTCGCCACTTTTGAAAATCCTGGGCTTTGATGTTCAGTTCAGTCAATGAGCCCATTTAAGTGACAGATTAGTTTATATTAGTAGTCAATATTCTTGCAGAACTGAGTGTAAACATGCAGCAATAATCAGGGAGCCAACCCCCAATCTAGATTTCATCATAATCATAGGAGACATATTTGCTGACCACTCACGAATGTATGGCTCCTGAAAAAAATAGAAGCTCTTGGTTGTAAGAGCCATTAAATTCTTCTCAAAGCTGAGGTGAAATTAGTTGCACATACCCTCATATATTGGAGAAATCTGAAACAGGATCTGAGTTGTGTGGCAAGACCCACCTTTAATAGGTAGGGCTTATCCAAAAAGAACGTATTGCCTGGTAATTTACATCCTTGGTAATCTACGTAAGACAATATTGTAAGTATATGAAAAACAAATTTATTTCTTACAAACAGATGTTTTCTTGGACAACAGCAATATTGGTCTTCAAGTTTCCTCCTTTTTTAGATAGACCAGTTAAATTCTGCTGGGTTTCCTGAACCAACAAATTTAGTTGTCTTTGAAGAGAAGCAATGAGTTGGGTGCTGCCCTATTAGGAAAAATGTAGAGTTATATATTGGATTGGGGTATTAACTGCATCAAAGTCATCATCACTTTCAAAAGTAATAAATCACATTTAATAGACTCCTTACAAAAGGTATTGTATAGCACACCAAGCAGCAGAACTACATTTTCAAGCCACAACTACTAGCTGTGGTTGTGTAAGAAATATGTAAGCAATGGATTCACTTAGATTTTGGAGTGTACTGTGATCAACAGCTATAGGCCATTCCGTGAGCAGACGTGATATTTCCACCTAGAAGCAGCATCACAATTGAGGACAAGCAAATTAAATGGATGGGGAAACTATAGTTACTGACTAAGGAAACAAGTATGAAAACCTACTATACAGGAGTTTAAGTCAAGACAGGTAAAAACAACTAGGTACAAAATACCTAAATCAATGCTTCTTGCTCTAAGAAAAAGGTGATACCTCTGTAAGTGCCAGCTTTGTCACCTCTGCTTCCTCCTTTAAATTCTCACAGTCATTCTGAAGTTGAACCAGAACACAGGTTATATCTTCCTGTAATTTATTCAGAGCAAGACAGTGTTTTGTAAAGAAGGTGTTTGTTTCCTCTTTATGTCCTTCCATCTTTATAGGGAAATAAATTACATTAAGATTAGACAAGGAAACCATGGGTTTTCAAAAACAGCACTATGACTCTCTCACTCTCTCTCTCTCTCCAATAAAATATGGTGGATAAACATATTGCAGTTGTTGCAGGTAGGCTTTGTAGAAGTTTGAAGTTAAAGAGGGGAGGTTGGTATATTAGGCAAATGGCTTTTCTAAACACAAAGGATGGTGTGAACAAAGCATAGTAGAATGAGAACAAAAGGGGACATGTTTGAGCAGGACAACAGCAAAAATGCACTAGAACACTTCAAACATTAGAAAATAAGCTACACACTGAGGAAGACAGCAAGCCAGTATGGAAACTCTAGACAAGGGAGATGTGGTCAGAACAAATGAAGAGCATTTTGGATAAACTGCAGGCAAAAGAAAGAAATGAGGGCAGGGAGGTTTAAGCAGTGTTCTTTTATCCAAAACCTCCAGGTGCCAAATTCTGACATTTGGGCAACTGAGAATGTATGTTGATGTGGGGAATACATGAGCACACAAAGGAAGAGGTCACTAAGGGTATGTCTACACAGCAGTGTTATTTCGGAATAACGGATGTTATTCCAAAAATAACAGTCTGCATCTACACACAAGCAGTTATTCTGACAATGTCGAAATAATGTTGAGCTGAAGGACTTCTTACTCTGTCTCCTGTAACCCTCATTGTACAAGGAGTAAACGAAGTTGGAAGAAGAGTGCTCTATTTTGAATTAAGCTATTTCGACTTAAGCTATGCAATTATCATAGCTTAAGTTGCATAGCTTATTTTGAGTTTAGTCCTGCTGTGTAGACACACCCTAATGGAGAAGCAGATTTGGAAGTCAGAGGTAACAGATGAACCCATAAGGCAGAGTATGCAGGTGGACAAAGCCAGATCAGAGACAGGGACTAAGACAAGAACTTTGGGAAGAGTCACTGAGAAAGTGTTCAATAAGGTAAGTGAACTAGAAGAACACTGCAAGGAGAGTCCAAGGAGAAATCTGTGTGCAATATCCATACATTTACCTTTTCAACAAGAGCTGAACATGTCTTAATGTTATTCTGAAACTGGCAGTTTATTCCCAATACAAATTCTACCACAGGCATCAGACTATTTAATGTGCTTTCTAGTCCGAACTTATGATCTTCCTAGAAAGGATGGAGAGGGAAGAGAAAAATCAAATATCAGCCAATTCCTCCATTTAAGTCTGCAAAAGATGGTTTTCAGACTAATTTGAATATATTCAAGGCCCTGTAACTTATGCAATTGCAAGATTTGCTCCATAATGTACCTGGCTGTAGAATTGTACTCCAGAATCCTAACAATCATTAGAAAAAAAATGTTCATAAACCGTTTATTTGGGAAGATAGCTTTGAACATGTGAATAGAGTACAGGAAACCCTCGCCATTAATAGTGGAAGTGTTCCTGCAATCCACCATGAATAGCGAAATCCATAAATACTGAGAATCATGGGGGCAGGTAGCCACTGGGGAATGCAACGTGGAGGCCGGGTTAGGGATGTTAAATGGTGTTTAATCAGCTAATCAACTAGTCAATGGAATTTCCATCAACAAGTTGATATGGGGGTTGGGGGTGAGGACACTGCAGACACACAGTAGGATTAGATCCTGTCCCTGGGAGCTAAGTCCACTGCAGCTCTGGCTTTAAAATGTATTAAGAACTGCCAGGTCTTAATACATTTAAAAGGCTGAAGTGCTGCCCGGGGGGAGTGGAGCAGGGGGAGGGAGAAGAGGAACAGAAACTGGTCATGAGCTGGTTCCCCCCTATGCCTCTGCCTTCCCTGCAGAGATGGTTCGGGGGGGAGGTGGGAGGAGGAGAGAAGACCAGCTCTTAAACCTGCACGGGCTCCTCTCCCGGTGATAGAGGCAGCAAAGGTGGGGGAGGGAGAGTGCTACTAGTCAAGTCACTAGTTGACTATCAAATAAGCATGTGCTTATCCGATAGTCGACTAGCCACTTACATCTCTAGGCTAGGTAGCTGTGGAGACCATTAGCCACAGGGAACTCACTGCAGCTGCAGTTCTGTGTCCCCCCCCCCCAGTCCAGGACAGGAGACCTGCAAATAACGATTCCATGAATCACGAGTCTCCTGTATAAACCAATACCAACCTACTTTTAAAAAGCCTGAAACAGTGGCCCAAGAGTCACTGCCCCATTTATCTTACTTCAAGATGTATGGATTCAACAACTGTGCAGTTATGGACTCAGACAGGTACTGAATTTAAAAGTTGTTGGTTTTTTTTTTTTAAATATAAATTGACTAGACCAAATTTATGAAGACATTTTAAAGTAGGAAAGAACCATATTACCAAAATAGCTCCAGAGCATCTAGATTAACTAACCATCAATTTCTTCAACTCAGCTTTATTTTTTACTGAGAGAGTCTCCTGTTCTAGTATTTTTTCAGAAAGCCAAGAAGTTTCAGCAGATAGCATTTCCACAACAGAGGCAAAAGATGAAGATACGGCCGATGCAATAACATTAGTGGCTGAAGAGCTGGCAGACAGAAGGTCACCTATAAAAGATAAATCGGAACCTTGAACCAGTGCCTCTCAGCCACAAGCTTTACCAACAAGACAGCAAATTGGAGTGGAAAAGCTGGCGTTGGCTGCCCAGCCACTGCCTGCGTGGGAAGAGGGGGGTAGGATTAAGCTCACCACCCTCTGCTTCATAGGATGATGCCCTATCCCCAAGTTCACTGGAGATCCCACCCCACCTCTCTACCGTCAGCAGGTCCCTTATCCTAACTTCCTAATAAGGGAGCCAGCTCCATCCCTGGGGCAGCCTGTGTTGGTTGCCTGGATTGGAGTAGATGTTTTGGCATAACTTCTACTGTAATGGTATGACTACCCAACTTGGAGCATCATTGGCATGACAAAATTCAGCCCTCAGTTTTTAGTTCCTTATGTCATGCCATATCCATTTTAGGAAAGTCTTTGGTATTTCTGCTGCATATAGTTTGTTAGCAGTCAAGAGAAAGACCAACACACTTATTACACTTACCGAGTAAATTAATATAAGATTCTAGCATTAGTTGTTGTTTCAGACTGTTCTCATTAACAGAATCTTGTATTTTGCTAAACAGAGCATTCATTTGTCCTGCAAATCTCTGCTGGGCCTTTGCGTTGTGTTGATCAACTACTTTTTTACGATCAAGTTTTGCATGGAGACCAGATACATCTTTTGTTGTTTCTTCAACTGTACTAAGCAACTAAAATTAAAAAGAAAAATGTACTTGGTCAATCTTCAGTTGAACCACATTTAGCATCAAAACAGGATCCATTTTAGTCTTCATTTAACTTAAGATGAAAACAGCCATATTGTTTAAAGTATTGGAGAAGGGAAGCCAATAGTTTACATTAACATGTTTAGTATATCACTGTGGTTAGTTTCTTAATCCTCGTGCAAACTATAACCAGGTGTTCAGTCACTCAAAGTTGCATGGAAGACATTGTTGATTCTGATCAACTTCAAGAAGACACACCACAGCTACAACACCCCATCAACCTTTGCCCCTCAAAAATAGGAAATGAAGGAGTATGGTGATGTACCCTTTCTGCAGTGTTACTGAAAGACTATGTAGTAAGTACGTGGTTCACTATGACTGACATTTAAGTGGTTTCTCACTAGTGGCTTGACTGCCATTGTAAATAAACATCCTCATTTGTTCCCCCCCCCGCAAAAAAAAAAACCCCAAAAAAACAAACAGCATCAAAGCTCAACAGGAAAGTCAGAAAAGAGGGGTTATGTCATGTAAATATAGATACAGGATTTACTAGTTTATAGAAAAAAAGTTTCCTAGAGCAAGTCACTGGTGTAAGAATTAAAAGCAATAAGCATGAAATTATCAATATGCCCCAAAGTGCAACAATGGCATAACACTGTTTGGTGAGCAGTTCATTTAGTAAGCACAACAAACTCTATAACTTTACTGCAGATCTCCTCTAAGAAGTGTTTTCATCCTAGTTCTCCCCCATACTTTTATGGGACAGTTTACCACATTTAGGGCGGGAGGTCATCTCTCAAGATGTCATGTAAGATTAGCATTTTCTGGTTCATTGCATCCTGTGGTGATTCAAACTGGAAGAAGCTCAGAGCCTGTAGGGCAGAATGGCTTTGAGGAAGGCAGCATGCTGGTTAGTGAAGAGCTAAACAACGGTCACAAACTTGCCACCTCAAGTGATGTCCCCTCCCCATCACCATGAAGTTAGTCAGTCCAGAGTCACTGTGGGGATGAGTCCATTCCAGATGAAATTGAAAGGTTTTCAAAAAAATTTCACAAATCCTCCCCTTAAAGATTAAGTATATTATTGATAGAATTGTTTAGAGTGCAGGAAGTTACACCTGAAATTAGTTATCAGAAATGCAATAACCTTGCTAGCAGTTCCATGAAGCTTTTCTTCAGTGTTCTCCAAAGCTGAAGACACATATTCCTCCTCCATAAGATGAAACTTCGTTTCTTGTAAGTTTTTCTGAGTGTCTGCCAGTTCTCTTGCCCTGATCTGCAGATCTGTTTTGCATTGTTCAAGCTCATCTTTATTAGTCACAAACAGCTCAGTGACCTAAAGTGCAGTTGAAATGCAGTTAATGAGATAATGCTTTTCAGAAATTTCAAGTCCAACTTAGTCATACTTCCAAATCATATATTCGTTAGAAGGAATATCTTCTCTCCCAATATCGTGACTTATGCCAAATTATCAGATAACTGGTCCATTACAAATGCAGTCTCAGTTCTAAGCAATATTTTTCTCCAAAACAGGAAAACATGATTAATCACAAGAAAGAGTTTGCAGAATAATTATATCCACTTACAGTTCTCCTACTAAAAATCAGCCTAACCAAATAGAAGAAATTATTCATTATTATTATTTAATTTAGCTAAAAGCAGAGTTTGTAACATCAGCATTTGATAGCTTTGTGGTTCCAAATCTTGGAATAATGTTTCCTATTCTCAGATTTAGCATATTACATGTGTATAATGAAGAGTCACCTTTTCTCATACACATCCCGAAAGTTACATGCCAATCCACTAAGAAAAGAACATTTTAGAATCTGATTTTTGTTGAAAGTCCAGCCGAGTAATTTTAAGCTAAGGAAAGCTTAAGAACTAAGTGTAGTATTGCATTATGTGGTTACAAGTTACCAAAGTGAAAACCCACACTTAATAAGGAGATAGGCATTGGGTTTCCCTTTCAAATAATTATTTTTGATTTGGAGGTTTGAAGTTTAGCTTCAGGTTTACAAAACTGACTAACCACACTCTGACTAAGCTCTCTAAAGTACCGCTACCAACAAACAATCTTTGTTTAGAGCTGGTTAGAAAATGCCAGTTTGTTGGAACCAAAATGGACAATGAAAGTGAGATGGGTTGACAAAATTCTACTAAATGCCAAAATGTTAACCAGATTTTACTTAGAAAACTAGTTTGGTTCCCTTCCAGCTCACCAAGGCTTTCAGGCCTCAGAGCTCTAGGACAGCCTCATATTGCCCTTTCAGTTCCACACCAGGTAGCCATAAGAAATTTGATTTATTTGGGGTTCTCAGGACTTCCAGGCTACAAACCATGGAGTCAGAAGCCTGAACATCCTGGTACAAGTTGCCAGGAAGAGTGTTCCAGGGCAGTCCTGGTAAGCCTCTTAGCAGTGGCAAAACGAACAAGAATGCCACATTTCATTCAGTATCAGCTTGTCTATTCTATTTTATAAATACCATGCATTTGCTTCTGAAATAATTCCCCTCTCCCTCTCCCCTCCCACCCCCCCAGGATTCCCAGTTTATAAAAAGTATTAAAAAATGGTTTAGGTCCAAACTGGAAAACCAAATTTTGAAATCTCAAAATGTCTTGCAGACAAGAAAGTTTCAGACAACTCTACCTTTGTTCTTTCACCTAACATATTAAATGACAAGAACTACAAACAATAACAGAAAGATTTAGATTTACAAGATGTGAACTAAGAGTGATCAGTTTGGTTTCTAAAAGTACACCACCAAGTTCCTTTCCTTGATCCAGTTTCCCCTCCACAAGAGGAGTTATTTGCAGACAGAGTATTGTTATAAGACATCACTTACTCTTTTCACTTCTTCCTCCATGGCACTAATTTTCTCAATATACTCGGCAATTTGTTCTTCTTGAACGGTCACTTTTCCAGTAAGAGCACTAAAACAATAAGTGTAACATGACTGATTTTGTTACCTAATGCTTCCCATACTGTGTAGTTATTCTAATAGTACTTTTGATACTAGTTTCCATATAAATTTTAAAATCATAGAAATGGAAGAGATCTCTAGAGATAATCTTGTCCAATCCCTATGGGTATGTCTACACTTGCACCCTTTTTTGATAGAGGGATGCAAATGAAGACATTCGAAATTGCAAATGAAGCTGGGATTTAAATATCCCATGCTTCATTTGCATAATTGCATTATGGTGCTATTTCGAAATAACAGACGCCGTTATTTCGAGGGGAAAACCCTTCTCTCGAAATAACCCTTATTCCCCATACAATGAGGTTTCCCAGTTATTTCGAGGGAAGGGGTTTCTCTCGAAACAACTGCGTCTTAACAGCATCTGTTATTTAGAAATAGCGCTATTTTGAAATAGCGCCATAATGCGATTATGCAAATTGAAGCAGGGATTTAAATATCCTGCACTTCTTTGCAATTTTGAATGTCTTTATTTGCATCCCTCTCTCAAAAGAGGGTGCAAATGTAGACATACACTTGGATTCATAGCAAGTCTAAGTATTAAGGCCATCCGCGACAGCTGTTTAACCTGCTTTAAAAAAAAATCTCCAGTGACAGAGATTCCACAGCCTTCCTAGGCAATTTATTCTAGTATTTAACTACCCTGAGTTAGGTAGCTTTTCCTAATGTCTGATGTAAACTGCCATTTCTACAATTTAAGCCCATTGCTCCTTATGGTATACTCAGAGGTTAAGGAGAATACATTTTTCTTTCTTCTTTTATCAACTGGAGCCCAGGACTGGACACAATACTCCAACTGAGGCGCAATCAGTGTGGAGTAGAACTGAGGAATTATTTTTCACGTCTTGCTAGTACATTCTTAATCAATATTGTTCATTCAAATACATGTTCATTTAAATATTAGAATAAAGAACCTTGTGTTTCTTCTTCCTTTAGTTTAGATGTATTGTTTATTGACCATTGGATAAAAAGGTATTTTGAGGCATACAAGAGTTTAGAGCAGAGGTATGTTTGACAGTTTGGGCCAGCTCCCAACGGGGACTGGGAAGGAGCATTATCCAGCCCTGTCCCCCCACCTGGCCATACCTCTGTTCCTGGCTCACGTCTGGACTGCAAGCCCCATTGTGTTCTGGCTGTGGCTCAGATACTATCCCCAGTCTTGGCTGCATTTCTGCCCCTGAAGCCCTCCCTCCTAGCCCCAGTGGACATGGACAGGGTAAAGGGGCTGCAAAACCCTAAAAAGTTTGGGGACCATTGGTTTAAAACTGACTTTGTATTTGCTGCAGTTCTTACAGATATAAATGCTTCTACAAAATGTTACATTTGAGGATTTGGTTGCTATGCTTGACACTAGGTTTTTAGAGGTTTTAGAATAGTCAAGGACTCACTCATAGTTTTCAGCAGAAATGTAAACTCCATTTTTCTCTCGTGCAGCAGCAAGATCTCGTTTCAGGCGTTCAATCTCCTCTGTATATTCCTATAACAAAAGTAATTTGTAAAAGCCCAAAGACTGTTTGATACATGCTGCATTATTTGTCAAAACTTAAAGATTGATCCACTGTATGGAACTGGATTGCTTGTATTTAAATTGAGGCATATATTATGTTCCTGTTTTGCTAGATTTTAAATAACCACCAATAGTTCAGTGGTGTAAGCTTCCTTGTGAACAACAAGAATCCACTTCAAAAACTATAACCAGTACCCTGATTGGCAATTTCAACAAAGGGCCAATAACTGAATCAGTAGGGAGATTCAGTCCCTAAAACTGACCACCACACTGATCACTAAAGTGGTGTCTATAGGCCAGGGTGAAATGGCAACATTGCGATTTTTCTACAATTTGACAAACAAAATTTAACCAATCTTCAATTTTTGAAAGCACACTGGAAAGTTACCTTAATGAGAGCTCTTTTTGTCAGTTTCTGGTTAACTTCAGGCTTATTCATGATATTCTTTGCTCTATGTGCATATTCCAAAGTGCTCAAAGTTTCCTGTATGAAAGTACAAAGACAGATATGACTTCTAGATGAAGGTTTAAGATTTCATTACTTTATTTGAACTTTTGTATAATTTCTAACACCAGAAACAAATACAGGATTTTTATCAGCATGCACAAAGGTAAGTAGGATCAAGTCTTTACCTCAAGATTTACAGAGGCAGGAGACACTGTGGCAATTATAGATGTTTTTGTACGCCCCCCAAGAGAATCCTGCAGGATTCTAGTGAGTTTAGATTCCCTGTATGGAATATGTGGGGCTCTTTCTACAAGAGCAGTAATGACTCTTCCCAGAGTAAGCAGAGACTGATTGATATTTCCTGCTTCACGAGCTCTTTTATCAACTGCTCCAGAACGTCCAATGTTTTCACTGCCTGCAAGATCAACCTGAAAGGAGAAAACAATAAAATCTGCAACTTACTGCCATGAGAGTGCAAAAGGGAGACAACTCCCACCTTGTAAAGCTGAAAATAAAGAGTGATTTCTAAAATGTCAATATGCCACTATGCATACAACCTAACTTACTTAAGACTTAGGAGTATCTATTGTATAATTTTCCCAATTGCTTCATAAAAACATAACAGCTGCCATACTGGATCAGACCAATGATTCATCTTTCTCCAACAGTGGCCTATGCTAGGGCCTCCGGTTGTGTACAGAACAGAGCAATTATGGAGTGATCCACCCCATCTTCCCCACCTGGTAGTCAGAAGTTTAGTATTGCCCCATGGTGGGTAATAGCCTTTGAAGGACTTAACCTCCAAAAAAAGACCTGGATAATTCATGAACCCAATTATAATTTTGGCAACCACAATATCTTATGGTTTCACAAGTTAGTTGTGCATTATATGAAAGAAAAAAGCCTCCTCTTAAACTTGTTACCTATAAATTTAGTCACGTAACTTTATGCTATAGGAAATATACCTCAATCTGTTGCTTGGTTAAAGACCCACGTAGTCCAATCTGGTGAAGCTAGTTCCCCTAGGCTGCAGTCAGCAGAGTTGTCCTATAGTGCAGGGATGGCCAATCTTACTGACTTGCTTAGCCACATATGATAATCTTCAGAAGTGACAGAGCCAGGGTATAGAGGTTTGGGACTTCAGCACTGTGGAGGTGCCTGCCTGGGCTCAGGGCTTCAGCTGCTTCTCGCCCCAAGAAGCTAAAGTAAAGACCCTTCCATGCAGCTCCCAGGCATTTGATATTGCCTCTCCCCAAAGAACTTATACCTGGGAGCAGAAGGGAAGGGCCGATGAGGGGAAAAAAAGGGGTATCCCAGGATGTGTGCAATTCAAGCTGTTGGAAGGGTCAAACCTTATAAATTGTGTCCCTCCTCTGAAAGAATCCCCGAGATCCACCACCCCACTGCAGAGCAGGGCTCCAGGAACTGCACTTTAACTGCAAGAGAACCACCCCTGCTATACTGCTTCCATTTGAACAATACACCACCCACTTTAATTACTTCAGATTGCTCTCTACTTAAAGGCACAGAGATATTTGCAGTCAAAATAGCATTCACAAAACTAAACTGCTCTGCCATGCAGCCATATATTAACCAAATCACATCCACCATTTATTTTAAGCAGAATGCATAAATGCATGGTATAACAGGGCCAGAATTTTAAGAAGGCAGACACACCTAGAAGGATTTTCAAAAGCATCTAAAGCTATGTCGAGGACCACATAACTTTGCAGTGGCACAGCTAGACTATCATCACCATGCCACTGTAACATATGCAGTGTAGCTTCTCTTTGCTGGCAGAAGAGAGCTCTCTTGGTAGAAAAATAAAAGAACCTCGAAAAAGGGGCAGTAGTTTTGTTGGTGGGAGATCATCTATTGCTGACAAAGCTCTGTCCATATCGGTGCTTTGTCATGAAAACTTTTGGTCAGAGAGTGTGTTTTTTCATACCCCTAACCAATAAGTTTTGACAAAAGTGCAAGGCAGACCTAGTCTACATGCCTCTCCTATGAATTAGTGTTAACTCTTCAATTGAGATAGTGAGGCAAAGCTTTATTTTCTTCTAGTTTGCTATTCTATAATTGTCACCTTCATGAGAACAGTGGAATTTAATGCAGATACTTACCAAGTTTAGTTTCCCAATTTTAACAAGCTCTTCTCCATCTATGGTAGTTTCTTTCATGTGTATGGTGACTGAAAACACAGAGTGTGAACGACTGCAAAATAAGTCAGTCAGTGTAAGACAAACACTCCAATAAACCTAACTCTTTTGCAAGACAATCACTAATGAATTTCTATGGAAGTCAGTGGATTTGTATCCAGGGATAAGTTTGGCCCGCTGATTTTTTCTATAAAAATGGCCATTTTTTAATACATCTTATTTTCCTAAGCACACTTCTAAATATGTACTCTACAAATTAGATCCAATGAAAGGAATGAATACATTAACACAGAAGGATTCACAGCATCTGAAAATTCAGCCCAGTGTTTGTAAGAAAAAAAAAAAAAGAAAACAAATGCAATAGAAACTCTACAAATATTTTATAGACTCAACTTAAGGAAGTTTTTAAAAAATGAACATGCCCTTCAGTGTTTGCAATCAGTATACTAGGTGCACATAGGTACAGGTTGGACCTACCTGGTCCGGCACCCTCAGAACCTGACCTGTCCCAGAAGAGGGATTTTGCAGGACCAGGAGGTCATATCTGTCCCCGTATCACTGATCCCCCAAGCCTAGTCCTGCTGCCCTACTGGTCTCCATCCCCCTTGCTTGCCATGCTGGGCATCCCTGCCGGGGTGTTCCAGGCTCTGCCGAAGATCCTGCCTCTGCCAGACAGCCCCACTGAGGTGCACTTGGTCGCCCAGCTGTGGGGAGCTGGGCTCTTGGCCCCACTGCCAGCAACCTGCAAGCTCCTAGGCACCAGCGCTCCATTGGGACGCTCTAGTCCTGGAACACCCATGGTCCTTCCAGACTATGGATATTGCCAGACAAGAGAGTACCAGTTTACAGAGGTTCAGTCAGTATGTAAGCTTGACAGTATCCCATATACAAGTCTTACCACCAGTATGACACTGGTAAGGGATATGCAATGAACATTGGACGCACCACAAATATGCAGATGTTTTTTACTGGGAACATGTAGATTTCACGTTTCATAGAAATAATACCTAAGCAGAACAAAGATTATAATCCTACAGCTAATTGTAACTATGGGAAATTTAGATAGAAAGTAATCACCCCGATGACCTTATCTGAATTCAAGCAGACTGGCATTCTTACAAAGTAGCAGCAGCCAAACAAGATCAAAATACGTTGCATCTCTTTGAAACTGAGGTCTCTAGTGCCCTAGCATGCTATTATATTGGATCACTATTGTCTCAGACAATGGAGAGCTGCTGTATATCATAAATACTAGGGATGTTAACTATCTGGTATTTGGGTAAACGTGTAACTGCTGGAAATTTTAGTGCTTACACATTCACACACAGGGAGAGGGGAGGGATAGTGGCTCTGCAAGAGCTTATTGGCTCCTACCCTCTTTTCTGTCTCTGATAAGAAGAGAAAGAATGTGTATAGTCAATTGGATTAACTGACAAGCCCAGGCTTATTGGGTAATCATGCAACCAACTACACACTGACATCCCTAAAATTCCACATTCTGCAGCAACTGGGTGGGAGACTTCCAAGGAATAATGACGTTTAGACCCAGCCCACTTCTGATTGCTTTGCAAGATTTGACAAGATCACAACACAAAGTGGTATGGCTACGCACACACAAGTTATTCTGCATTGGGAAGCCATGAAATTCAAATTCTATCATCTCTATTTCCCAATCAGCAGCAAATTGTCAAGAGATGGGGTGGGAGAACACAGAGTCCTGTGTTGGTAATGAACGTGAACTGAATCATCCAATAAGTTTTTTCCACCTGACAGCTTAACAACAAATCCTAGACCATTATCTGCTAAGTAAGCTGAGACACTTAAGTCACGAATGAGACGGTTCCTTATGTCATTCTCTCTAGCTGACAAAATGGTGGAGAGAGAGGAGTCTCAGTAACTATGTAAGCATAATGCTGCAGCATTGACACAGTCTATATAGGTGGATGTTGTTTTCCTCAGTCGATGCAGGACCTCTCCAAATGAGGGTAGCTACATCTGAATCATTCCATCAGCACGGCATCACTATCACTGACAGGTCAGAATATCTAAATAAGATCTGGGGTACGCATCTTTCATTCCCCTGACCAACACAGATATATCAACAAGCTCTATGCTGCAGAAAGAATTTGTTTAGTTTCATATTAGTATATACCAGTGGTTCCCAACTGCCGGTCTCTGGACTGGAGAACTGCTGACTGCGGGGCCACGGTGCTTCTGAGGACCAGGGCTCGGGTACACAGCCCAGTGGTTTTCCTCCCACTGTGACTGTTAGGAGAGGAGTGTCCTGTCCCACCTCTCAGCCAACCAGTGCTGGGCAGAAGCGAGGTCTCCTCCTGGCTATGGAAGAGTGGTTTGCCATGTGGCGGGGGGCCATGCGGAGCCTGGCATGACAGCCTTAGAGCAGCCACAACCCAGGCAACAGTGCTAAGCTGGTGGCTGGGAGGCAGTGCAGGGCTAGGTGAGGACAGTGGGGCAGGCACTGGGGTGCTCAATTATTGCTGGAGAACTCTGGGGGTGGGGGTGTGACACTGGGGAGTGCAGGGTGAGGAGCTGGCACTGTGGGGCTCTAGAGGGCAGTCACAGGGGTCTCAGAGAGGGAGGCTAGCATGGGGAAGGTGGAGTGCTAGGGACTCTGGGGGTCAGTGACTGGCACTGGGGGGTAGTGGAAGGATGGGGAGGCTCTAGGGGTTAGGGTTGACACTGGGATGGTCTGGGGCAAATATGTCAATAAAATGTTATCAGTTGGCCAAAAGTCTGTGAATGGGTTTGCCGATACACAGTATTAAAAAGGTTGGGAACCACTGAGTACCACAACACTTTTCATTCATGTACTCATCTTGCTAGGCATATATGTCACAAAGCTTCAAAAGCTAAACTTCATACTGGAGTTACTAGTCAGTATTATTCTAGGCGGCATATGGTGGAATGTTTTTACTCTCATGCATCTTGGCAATATTTTGATGCTTGCATTGACTAGGGATTTAACAGGATAGCAATTTACATGGTTAACCAGAAGCTTGGGCTTACTGGGTACCATGAATGGTTACACAGGCTCCTGCCCTGCTCCCAGGAAGCCGGCTACTGCACTGCACTGATGCCTCTGATACAGGGATGTGATATCATTGGCAGTTACAGGCAAGCACTCTCCCCGTCATGTTACTGCCTCTGTAACAGAGGCAGCAGTTGGGGGATGGAAGAGAAGCAGGAATTGGCTCCCTGTGCAAACCAGCTCCCGCAGAGCTGCCTTCCCCACTCCTAAACATATACACACTGAAATTTTCAGCAGGTATACATTAACTAAGTAAAAAGCAACAAAATAGGGATGTCAAAATGTATCAAAATATATCTTTATATCTTATAAAAGGAAACCTTTGTACCTAGAGTATGCGTTCATGTAAGTAGCTGCAGTTGTTCTTTTTGCTGCTCCTCTTTCCAAAATATGATACACTTCATCCTTGTTGTGCACAGTTATTTCTTCCAATCCTTTGATAATCACACCCCTCTGTCAAGATAGGATTTTATGTTACAGATCTTTCTTTAGTCATTCTAAGAGTCCCACTTAAGTTTTCGTATTCAGATTTGTACCTTGTTACGGGGGTCATCAAACATTTGTAGTCTCTCTCCTACATCAGGAGAAGGATTCAAAAGATCAAAAAGTTCCTCATTGTAGATTTCCAACAGGGAGACTTTAACAGAAAATTCTGTACCATTGTCTGAAAGTTTTTCAAATATTTGATGCAGTGTACGGGGGATTATACCAGCTAATGGATCCTATAATTAAAGCACAGATGCATTTATCAAATACTAGCATCAAGAGAAGACCAAAGAAACACTGAGTATAAAGAGTAGAAATAAGTGTTGGGAAATCAACATTTAAAATATGGGTGATACTAATAACAGTCTTTCCTAGGGTAATGTTGAGCTTTCAGACAGGTATGAAACAAAAGTCAAGGTTATCCAAAAGAATGTTCATAATTTTTAAAAAGCAGTTTAATGGTAAGCTCTTACTGTTAGAATTGGTGAGTCTGAAGCAAGAGTTTTAGAGTACCTGCAAAGGACTGGTTCCAACAAAGTTTTCATTCGCTGCAACTAGACTTCTGCAATATATTCACATTGAATTACAACTCAGCAAATGAGCTTTTAATAGGAAGTCAGATTTACCTCTTCCCATGTATATTCTTCATTAGGAGATCTTTCCCCTTCCATTGTGAAGGTTTTTCCTGTTCCAGTTTGGCCATAGCTGCGTGGCAGAATTTGAAGATTAAAAATGGATACTTAAAACTGAAGTTACATGCTAAAAAAGTAGTTTGCGGGCACTTACGCAAACACAGTACAGTTGTATCCCATAATAACTTCATCCAAAATAGGACAGACAACATTCCGGTACACATCAATTTGTTTTGCTTGAGCCCCAAAGACCTGTTGAGGCAAAGTCAATGATCACATTTAACTATACTCTGATATGCTTTACCACTTGAGGTTGGCGCATAGTAAAATTCCATGATTGCCTGATCTAAATAATCACGTCAAATAGGCATATGGAGGGCCACATGTGGCCTGATCTAAGTTTTTTGCGGCCCACTGGCCGCTCGGAGCACGTGGCCGAGTACAGATCACAGCTGGTGGGCCACTCTGCACCACAGCAGCTGCTCAGCCAGCCGGGCCACTCTGCGCATGTGATCACGGCTGCCTGGGCCGCTCTGCGCATGGTGCTCAGCATGTGCTGTTCTGCATAGGCATCAAGAACCTGCTCACAGGAAGAAGTGTGGCTCCGGGACCCAGGCATTAGGTTGGGGTGGCTGGGAGTGCCTGGCTCGGGGGGAGGTATTAGGTTGGGGGTGCCTGGCTCTAGGGGAGTGGAGAGGGATTGGGTTAGAATGGGAGCATGGAAGTGCCTGGCTCTGGGAGAAAGGAAGGGGTTATTTTGTTAATATTTTGTTTTTATTTATTTATTCCCAAATAAAATTACAAAATGTATATTAATTTTATATCAATAAATGTCAATTCTTTGCAATTACATGAATAATTATATCTTTATGCAAAATCTCAAACTTACAGTGCCTGATTCTGGGGGAGGAGTAAGGCATTAGGTTAGGAGGTGTGAGGGTGCCTGGCTCTGGGGGGTGGGGGGAGAGGGAATAGGTTGGGAGTGGGGCTGGAAGTGCCTGGCTCTGGTGGAGGCACTGGACCACAGCCCTTTAGCTCTTCTCTTTGAACAAGCATGCAATTCAGTGTTAATTGCATGGTATCACATACTGTTTCTCAAATAATGATAGCATACAGTTTTTTCCATCAAATGGTTTGGAATCAAGAGTACTGTAATATACACACACACAGGGTTGATTTGTGGTTCCCAGTTTAATTTTTCATATGTCCTGAGTTTTAAGTACCTAACGGTACTGTGTTAATATTTGTCATATAATTTACTTGCAATGTAGGCATTGCCAAATCAGCCAATGGGACCGTCTAGTCTATTGCAGCTACAATACTGGACAAGTGGCCAATACAAGATGTGTCATAGGATGCGTTGTGAATGCACTTGCACATGTCCACAAGAAACTACTGTGGACAGTTATCCCCGGACAGGGAATGTTTCTTCTTCACTCCCGTTAGTTTGTGGCTGGCTTATGACCTGAAACATGAGTGGGTTTTAATCTGTTTTTTATCCTACCTATGGCATTTTAGATATTGTCATTATCAATAGGCCTCCATCCTTTTAAAAATCATACAAACTTTTGACCTCACTGCTATTTAATGGCGGTGAGTTCCACAGATTAATTGGGTTAAAAAAAGTTTCCTTTTATCAACTTTTGTGTCATGTTTTGGCTGTTTGCTCATCAATTCCCACTTTGCACACCTGATATTTATCTTACATTTTACCTATCTTTCTTTCATTTTCTGCTCTATAGACTTAACTTGGGATGGGTTTCCAATTTCCAAAGGATACCCATTTGGCTCAAATAACATCTGCTTTAAAGATAAAAAAGGAAAAGGAAATTATCTAGTTTTAGATCTAAGAAATACCAGCCAATTAAGGGTAACTGGGGCATACCAATATTGCTAATAAATATGCACTTATACATCAGTCAGCCAAAAAGCAATTCACTTTTTAGTCTTGCATGGATTATGTGTGTAAGAATATTACACGAATCTTTGAAAGTGCAAAGTTTAAAAAATCCTAAGGATAGCATAAAGGCCAACTTTGCAAGCCACTTAATTCGTTTTGATAATCCTTCTGGGGACAAATAGACACTTAGAGCATGCGGGGGAGGAGGGTATGGATGCAGAATAAGGCAGCCAACACAGATGTCATCTTTAAATTCCAGGGCAAAAAAAGAATCAGCATGTATCTAGTTTACACTGTATTTCTTTAAAGAATTCTCAAAGGCTATTGTTTGCCAGGCTGAAGCAATTATTCTGAAATTTGAGTCTCTCCCTTATTGTTTTGGTCTATTCTTGTTTTTATTTCAACAAAACAAGATATGTATCTCATAAAAATAATTAAAAAGTACCTTAAATTCGAGTTTGACATGCCTGATTTAGATGGAAAATTTTTCTAGCAGATATCTAGAAGTTAGTAACTCAAAAAACATGTACCATATCAAATGTGTAAGTCTTCCTTGCGGTCTTATCAGTCACTCCTCCAGTACGAATGCTAACTTCCTTTCTTGCATGGTCACAATCTACAATAGCATGCGAGTTTGCTTTGCGCTCTGACGCATTAAAAGGCCTAAAAGAGAAATACACCTTTATCATCAGAAAGGACATGAATTAAGTTTGGCTAAGTAGTACTTTGTTTGTTTGTTTAAAATAAAAAAGCAGCATAGCACTTGTGCAGTATAAACAGAAAAATGTACTTGCTTAATCTAGGTAAAATTTCCTCCATTTACCTTCAAATCACTAAAGATTGTACCTGATGGACATCTAGCATGTTTACAGCTATTATGCTGTTTGTGAATGCATTTTCAACAAGTTTATTGCATCTAAATCACAGGACACACACATACAATTAATTGAACTAAAAAGTACACTTTTATTTAGACTGGTCAGTTTGTCTAACAATATACCAAATTATATCTCACTAAGGGTTACATATTGTAATCATCTTTCTACCATAGACCCCTAGCAATATGTCAGTCATTGTTCCATCTCAGCAGTGGCCATCATCCAGAATTTGAAGAAAAAAGCCCCACCTCTGTTTAGTGAGGAAAAGGATTTCTTCCCTAACAGGCTATACCCTAATTCACACATCTTTATTAATTACTTTTGTAGAATAGCTTTTTACCTAGATACATGTTCAGTGCTGGAGAAGACCCAGTATTTGTTACATCAGTGGTCTCCAACCTTTTTAATCACAAGATCACTTTTTCAATTGAAGTACGATGTAAGATCTACCTCAAACCCAAATACCCTTGCCCTGCTTCCTTCCTGCCTCTTCTGAGGCTCTGCCCCTGCTCTGAGGCCTTATCCTGCTCACTCCATCCTCCTTCCTTCCCCATCCTCACTCACTTTCACCTGGCTGGGATAAGGGGTTGGGGTGCAGGCTCTGGTCTTGGGCCAAGGGATTGGGAGTGTGGGAGGGGTTCTGGGCTTAGCCCAGAGTGGGGGATTGGGATCTAAGAAGGGTTTCAGGGTGCAAGCTCTAGGAAGGAGTTTGGGTGCAGGGGGAGGTTCAGGGCTGGGACAGGGGTTCAGGAAGCAAGCTCCGGCTGGGCACCATTTAACCAAGACAGGTTCGTGGTGAAACTGTGGGGTTAAGGCAAGCTTACTTCTGCCCTGGTCCTGCACCATTGCTGAAAGCAATAGCTCCATGTGCTGCCCCTCATTTATAGGCACTGAGCCCACAGCTTCTACAGGCTGCGGTTCCCAGTTATTGATCAACGGGCGCTGCAGGAGTGATGTCTGCAGGTAAGGAAAGCATGTGGAGACCCCCTGCTCTGCCTTTCTCAGGGGCTGCAGGGACATGCCAGCCACTTCCAGGAGCAGCAATTCCCATAGGGATAATTACTCCAGCCATGCCAGGTTAGGCATATTAGAACGCACTACTCAAAGAATTACATGTAAGCATTCGAGAGAAATCAGTATTATGAAAAATCACAGACCAGTCAAAAACCCAGAATAACTCACTTTGCAAGCAGTAAAAGTAGTAACAACCACCCAATCTCTGTGTATGTGTTGGGTTGGGAGAGAAGAGTGAAAGACAGTTGGGCTATGTCTAGACTGGCCCCTTCTCCGGAAGAGGCGTGCAAAGCAGGCAAGTCAGAATAGGGAAATCCACGGGGGATTTAAATATCCCCCGCAGGATTTAAATAAACATGGCCACTGTTTTTTTTCCGGCTTGGGGAAAAGCTGGAAAAGAGCGTCTAGACTGGCGCGATCCTCCGGAATAAAGCCCTTTTCCGGAGGATCTCTTATTCCTACTTGCAAGCGTCTCTCCCCCATCCCAGTCCCATCCCTGCCGTGCGCAACCTTCTCTGAGCTCCCCCTTGCTGGCTGCTGCTGCCCTGAGCAGCGTGCTCAAACCAGTGGGTGGGGAGATGCCCGGACATGACGTAACATCACGCTCCGAGATTTTAAACCTGCTGGCTGCTGTGTTGCGCCATATGGCTGAGTTGCGGGTTTGGAGTCCGGGGACAGAGCACAGACTCCGGCCCCGCAAAGAGGAAGGCAGAAGGTACGGGAGAGGGAGAGGAGGGGAGGGGAAGGGGCTTGTGCAGAAGGGAAAGGGGAAGGGCTGGGAGAGGAAGGTGCTTGTGTGGAGGCGGAGGGGAAGGGGAAGGCACCAAAGGGACAGGGGTGGAGGAGAGACAAATGGCAGAGGGCAAAGTGCAGACAATGAGGAAAAAGGCAAGAGGTGAGGTGTCAGTGGGAGAGGGACAGGGTGATGCTGGGAGGGGAGAGGTTAAGGGCATTGGGGGCTAGAGGAGGAGGTGCTGGAAGAAAGCTTGAAAGAAAGGGTGGGCATAAGGAAGGCCGGGATGGAGCAAGTCATGTGTGAGGGCACAGGGGCATGAGGGGAATGGGGGCAGAGGCTGGTGAGGGGTGGGCATCAGGGAAAAGGGGGGCAAAAGGGGCAGGGGAAGTGAGGGAAGGGGGAGGCACCAGGAGGGTGCAGGGGTAAGGGATGGTGCAGGTGCCAAGGGATTCTGGGGGTGAAGCAGAAGGGCAGACACCTGCAGCGGTGGGACCACCATCAGAGGAGAGACACAGGGCAGGTTTGTAGAGGGAGGTAGCTCACATGATCAGAGTGGGCTACTGGAGGACTGGGCACAGGAAGGAGAGAAGGGCTGGAGGAGGGGGGCAGGTTGCAGGAGGGCTGAGGATGGTGAGAAGAGCAGGAGTCAGGACAGCAGAGGAGGGTGAGGAGTAGGGGGGCAGCAGGCACCAGGGGAGCTGATGGAGCAAGGGGAGGAGACATGGCAGCAGAGGGAAAAGGTAGAGGTTTAAAAATATGTATTAATAACTTGGGTGGCACATCCAAACAAGCCATATGAACTCAATACTGGTGCACAATACAAAATTCATTTTGCTCATGTGAGGAAACTCTTAGGCTATGTCTACACTGGTTGTT